GGGGGGGGGGGTGTTGCAATTTAATTCACAATAGGGAGTTTGAGAAAAGGAAGCCCCCAGAGCTTCCCGTTGGGGGTTAGACAAGCACACATGGGATTATTTTTCTGAAAAAAGAACAGCAGCTTTGAGCCTAAAAAAAAAGAGACAGACTTAATGCCTCACTGTTTAAAGTGTGGTCGTGGACCGGCAGCATGAAGTCAACTAGGAGCCTGTTAGAAATGCAGAATCTTATGTTCCTCCCCAGACCTACTGAGTCAGAATCTACATTTTAACAAAGTCCTCAGGTGACTTGTAAGTACATTACAGTTTTACAAACAGCTCTCCATTAAAAATCTGACTTTTATTTCCTTTCCCACCCATGATGGTCAATCCAGCTTGCCAGTCTCTGCACAGGTCGGCCTGGTTGGAAACCAGACACCCACGCTGTCCTTCGTTTTCTCTTTACACGTAATGTGTTTTTGAGTTTCTCTCCCATGTGTCAAGTTTGCCGTGTGCTTCCACCTTCTGGAGAGCATTGACTTGTTAAGCCAGTCCCTTTGTTGTGTCCTTGGGCTGTGTCCAATTTTTTGTTTATAAATGTGGCTGCCATGATCATCTCTATACACATTCCTTTGGGGTTAGCTCCTTGAGGTGGAATTTATGGAATCAAAGTGCATGGGCAGTTGTGGACTCTTTATTATATCTTATCACACATCTATATCTATGGAACTTGACATCACAGCAGGTTCCCCATTTTATCCAGCAGTTCATAGGAACCGGATTTGGGAGGTCAAGTGGCAGATAAGGCTTTGGAGCCAAAGAGGCCAGGGTTCAAATCTACATTTTTGCTGTGTGACATTGGGCAAATTACTTAACATCTCTGAGCTCAGTGTTGCTCTATAACATTGTAACTTCGTAGGGATTTTATAAAGATAATCATGATATCACCAACATCCATTTATTGAGCACTTTCTGTGAGTTACCTCATTTAATCTTTTAAGTTTCTTTGCAGAGTAGGCATGATCATCTCCCTTTGCCTTTTACAGAAGAGGAAACTGAGGCTTGGGTTAAGTAGCTTGCAGTTATATTGTAGGAACATCGTGTGCCCAAGCCCAAGGTTGTAATGTCTAGATCATTAATGTCTAGATCATTAAGGCCAGAAAGAAGATACTGAGCACATGGCCTGAGCACGTGGTCAAGGTTGTACCTTGCTCAGCACTTGTTGGGTGCCTGCCTTTGCTTCCCATGCCTTTATCAATTTTCTCAGGTTACTCCCAGGTATGGTAGCTAACCCAGCATTGTTTCAGCTGTATGTCATTAACGATTCTACAGCTTTATTTTACGTGCAAACTTTCTCCCAGTTGGAAATGAGTTTTTAAATGACTCACAGGTCTGTGGTTTGGAGCAGAGCTGACTCTGATCTTTGCAGCTAACTAGCTCCTTCTTCCTTAGGGACAACGGTGGCCAGACTGCACGTGGCCATGAGCGCTTCTCAGTACTCCTAGGCTGAGGCTGGGCTGGCAGCCATGAGGCTGGGTGGGCCCCAGGCCTGGCTGTTGAGCTTGCCCACAGCCGTGGTCTACGGCTCCCTGGCCCTCTTCATCTCCGTTCTGCACAACGTGTTCCTGCTTTACTATGTGGACACCTTTGTCTCAGTGTACAAGATCAGCAAAGCTGCCTTCTGGGTCGGAGAGGTAGGCCAGTGCCTGGGTGGGAGCTGGGCAGATTGCTGTGCTGGGTCCTGCCCAGCCAGGGGCCTGGGGCAGGCAAGGCTGCCCACTGACACTCAGCAATAAAAGCTGGAGCAGGAGGCCTTGATGGCTCTTTAGTAGGGATTACACTGGCTCTGGCCACTATCCTATGAGCCAGGGACTGTTTTATGTATTCACATATATAATCATATATATTTTCTCAGCTGGATATACTTATCAGCTGGGCCCTGGATGGGTGGGAGTTTGATGGGACAGTGGCCCATAGAGTGGGTTTTAGCAGAGGGACTGACCTGAGCAAGTTAGCAGGCAGGAAAGCTGGTGTCATCTATAAGGGGTGGTGAGCAGGCTGGGTAGGGAAAGTCCTGGAGAGGAGGCTGCCTGAAGCCCACCTGCCCCATCTCCCCTCTGCCCACAGACGGTGTTTCTCCTGTGGAACAGCCTCAACGACCCCCTCTTCGGCTGGCTGAGTGACCGTCAGTTCCTCAGCTCCCAGCCCCGGTTTGTGTCTTGGGGAAGGCTCATCACTGGTCCTGCCCCACCCCACACTTCCCCAGGACTGGAGGGCCCCCACCTGTGTTTGGGGTGGGGAAAGAAAGGGAGACCATTTTCAGCTGTTGTCCAGGTTTCTTCCCTTCCCCAAGATTAGGGCAGACTCTGTCTAGGTTGGAGAAGTAGCTTTGACTAGCTGTTGGCCTTGATCACCTGGGGGAGAGATTGACCCCAGCTGTTCCTCTGGCCCTCGGGACTGGGTACTCACTGTACCACAGACATTGCTTCTTCTGGCAGACCCCTTTACCCCATCCCTGCTTTAGCCCATCACTGCCTCCAACCCTAAAAACATGGTATCACATCCCCCTTTGGCCCTCAGCCCTGGCAGGCTGGCAAGAGAACAGAGGAGGGAGTACCCATTGGTGAGTTGTGTTTCCTAAATTGGAGGCTAAGGACTCAAAGCTCAGTGGGACACCCTTGGGTGAGTCCCACATCCTGGGCCTCTGTCCCTCTTCTGGGACCTGAGCAGGGGGCACTGGGGCCCAAGGCTGCAAGGGCATTTCCCAACAGCCCTCCTCTCCCTGGCAGGTCGGGCACTGGGCTCTCCTCGAGGGCTGTGGTGCTTGCACGGGTGCAGGCACTTGGCTGGCATGGGCCGTTGCTGGCGGTGTCGTTCCTGGTGTTCTGGGTGCCCTGGGCCCCAGCTGGCCTGCAGTTCTTGCTGTGCCTGTGCCTATATGATGGCTTCCTGACTCTCGTGGACCTGCACCATCATGCCTTGCTGGCTGACCTGGCCCTCTCAGCCCACGACCGCACCCACCTCAACTTCTACTGCTCCCTCTTCAGTGCAGCTGGCTCCCTCTCTGTCTTTGCCTCCTACGCCTTCTGGAACAAGGAGAACTTCTCTTCCTTCCGTGCCTTCTGCGTGGCACTGGCCGCTGGCTCTGGGCTGGGCTTTGTGGGGGCCACACGGCTGCTGAGGCGGAGGGTTGAGGCGGCTGGTAGGGAGCCAGGGTGTCCAGATCTGGCTGCGGATAGTGGGTGAGTGGCCAGCACTTTTCTGAGTCTGATTTCAATGCTGGATTCCCTGTCTGATGGGTGGCTGCCCTGGGGTGGGGGATGGCTCTGGCCCAGCCCTAGGCGGTTCTGACTCCCCTCTGCCCCATAGCCTGTATGGAGAGGAGCTGCTTGTGGGCGGCGAGGAGGCTGGCAGCATCACCTTGGGCCAGTACCTCTGGCAGCTGGCACATCACCGGAACTTCCTGTGGTTTGTGGGCATGGACCTGGTGCAGGTATGGGAGCAGTCCCCCTATCCAGGATGGTTAGGGTACTCCTCACTCAAGGCAACAGGCTTCTCAAAAGCTGGGAAATCAGTTCTGTGCCTCTTGTGATGACTGCAGGGTGATTTGAAGGCAGGAACACAGGTTGGGTAGTTAGAAGACCTGGATTCTAGCACCATCTGAGTTCCTAACTCCTTGTGTGATCTTAGGCAAGTCTTAGCCCCTGGGGCAGCCGTGTCCTGCAAAGTGAGAATTTGAAAAAGAGGCACTCCTCTAGGAACTCAGTGATAATCCTTTTAAAACACCAAGTGCCACACCTAAAACACAGGTAGTAGATAAGCTAGTCAAATAGTTTTTATGGCATTAAGCTTGTTTTACTAAGGTGTTTTTAATGAAAAAGAAACAAACTTTTAATTGTTCTAATGACAATTTTATCATTCCTTCTAACTTTTAGCAACATTAGATAAGCAACTTGGTTTTAGGTTTTGTTCTGGCATGTTCCACTTTGAGGGACATGAGGATAAAGGTTGCTCTTGCCCTGGCTCCCCTCCTGCCCTGGTGGCCTCCTCACTGCCACTGTTGGGTTGCAGGTCTTTCACTGCCACTTCAACAGCAACTTCTTCCCCCTCTTCCTGGAGCACCTGTTGTCGGACCACATCTCCCTTTCCACGGGCTCCTTCCTGTTGGGTGAGTGGGTGTCTCGGTCAGGCTGGAAGGACAGAGGCTTGCACCCCAGAACCCTTAGCCTAGCTGCAGGCACAGCCAGCTCTTCAGCTGGGGCCTGGGTGGCAGAGGGCAGAATCCGCTGTGGTTGCACCTCCAGCTCCCAGCTCAGTTTCCCTGGGGAAGGGATGGAAGCCTGTTGTGGGTATGAGGGGGTAGGGCTGCTCTCATGGTGGTCCCCTTGGTGATGGTGCCACCCAGAGGCGACGCAGCACAGCAGCTGGTTAACAGCAAGGACTACAGTGTGCCAGGCGTGAGTGTGAGTCTTGACTGTACTTATTGACTGGCCTTGGGTGTGTTTTATTTCATCTCTTTGGGTCTCCATTTCTCATCTGTAAAGTGGGAATAATAATAGTACTTAACCTTCAAAGGCTATGAGAATTAAATAAATGGATGCAAATGAGCTCTCAGTATGGAGCCTGGCAAGTTGTTAGGCAAACTCTGGTTCTGATGGTTAAAATGTGGAAAATTGTGGAAGCTGCCGCAGTGCCCCCTGACAAGGCTGCACTCCTCCTCCCCAGGCATCTCCTATGTCGCTCCCCATCTCAACAACCTCTACTTCCTGCCCCTGTGCCGGCGCTGGGGTGTCTACACTGTGGTGCGGGGGCTCTTCCTGCTTAAGCTGGGCCTGAGCCTGCTCATGCTTCTGGCTGGCCCCGACTGCCCCGGCCTGCTCTGCCTCTTCATTGCCAGGTATGCCCTGCCCTCCCTCAGCCCCACACCTCTGTCCCACCCCTTCACTCTTGCCTGCTTTCTCTCTCTGCTGGCAGCAACCGTGTCTTCACTGAGGGCACGTGTAAGCTACTGACCTTGGTGGTCACTGACCTGGTGGATGAGGACCTGGTGCTGAACCATCGCAAGCAGGCGGCCTCAGCGCTCCTCTTTGGCATGGTGGCTCTGGTGACCAAGCCAGGCCAAACCTTCGCCCCACTGCTGGGCACCTGGCTGCTGTGCTTCTACACAGGTGAGGGCCCAGGGGCTGGCAAGGGCCCCTTGAGACTCCGGGAGCATGGCTTATCTGGAGTACCAACTGGCAAGCCTGGCTCTAGGTCCAGTGAGGGAGAGAATGGCAACTGGCTGGCACAGGCTGGGTCTAGGCCACCCTGGGCTGCCACACCTCCTCAGCCTCTGCCCACATATGTTGAAAAACTAGGTCTCTGATTCTTCTGTTTCGAGTTCATTCATTGATTCAACAAATATGTATAGAATACTGTCTCTGCCAGGTGTTGCTCTGGGTGCTAGGGAGGTAACAGTGAGACATACAAGGTCTTGGCCATCATGAAGCTCATATTCTAGTCAGGGAGGAGGGGGATGTGGTGATATACAGCCAAACAAGAAAATAGCAGGTAGTGATAGTGCAGTGGTAAAAACACAGCAGGTCTTCAATAGATGTGGTTTTGTTCAACATTGTTTCATTATCATGTTGATGAGATGCTGTAGGAACTTAACTAGTTTATGTCAATTAGCCTACGGTAGAACTGGTTCGTTATAAATTATTTTACTTAAAGCCACAGTACTTGCTGGTGACAATGAGTGAGGACTTACTGTAATGTGACTGAAAAGCTGCTTAGTGTGGTCTGGGAAGTTCTCTCTGAGGAGGTGACACCCAGGATGTGAATTGAATGGGAAGGATTTGGTCTACAGAGATCTCAATGAATCCCAGACAGAGGAGCAACAAGTGCAAAGGCCCAAGGTATGAGGAGTGCTTAGATGAAGCTGGAAAAGTGATGAGGGCTCTGAAGAGCAGGGCTGGGTTTGGATTTTATTCTCAGTTCAAAGAGAAGCTATTGGAAGGGTTTTAAGCAGAGGGTGACACGGTCTGATTTCTGTTTTTAAGAGCTGGCTCTGGCTGCTGTATGGAGAATGGTTTGTAGGGAGGCTGTGGCAGAGGTGGTGCTGGGGGGCTGGAAAGAAGTATTTGGGTTTGGGATGTGTTTTGGTGTTGAGTAGAGGTGAAGGATTGGCTATTGTGGAGTGCTAAAGTTAACCAAGGAATCTAGGAAGACTTTAAGGTTTTGGGTTGCAGTTATTGGGTGGTTGGTGGTGCCATTAACTGAGAAGTAAAAGAACAGGGGAGAACCAAGGTTGGGGCTGGAACCAAGAGTTGTGTTTTGGTTGTGTATGTGTGGCATTTGAGATGCGGCATTGTGGACCTGGGAGGAGCCCAGGGCTGACTGTTCTTTCTGCACACTCTCTTGTCCTAGGTCATGATCTCTTCCAGCAGCCCCTACTGACTCCTCTGGGGAGTGCCCAACCCTGGCCAGAGCCCCCAGCCCCACCTCCGGTTCAGGCCCCGACACTCCGCCAGGGCTGCTTCTATCTGCTGGTGCTGGTGCCCATCACCTGTGCTCTTCTGCAACTGTTCACCTGGTCCAAGTTCACACTGCACGGGAGACGCCTGCACATGGTCAAAGCCCAGCGCCAGAATCTGTCACAAGCCCAAACCCTGGACATTAAGACAGTGTGAGAGGTGTGGCATGGCCACCCTGATGAGGACACTACCCACAGCTCTGGGCAGGAGCCACTTTTGCAAGCCTGGTTTCCTGCTCCCCTGCCTTCCTTGGGTGCAGCCTGGAGGACAAATGGCAGAATGGGAGCTCCTGGCTCTGAGCCAAGAGTGTCACTGGGTCTAAGATCTTGCTTGGCCATCTGGCCCAGCTTGGGCAAGGGCTGGGCCAAATTTGCTCAGGGACCTGCTTCCCCCTATGGAGTAGGAGTAAGAAAAGGACCAAGAGGGAATGGGATTGCCCTGTGGTCTCATGGGATTGCCACAGGGCACAGAAGCCTAACCCACTGCCTGGCTGGGGCTCACACTTCATGTGTGCTCAGGAACCACTTTTGGTACTGCAACTGCTCCCTTTCATCCAGTCAGGGGAGCTGACTGTAAGTCCCACCCACCCCCTCTCTCTACCCTTCTAGTGGTTTGTCTGGTTCTCTGCTTCAGCTGTGCCTGAAGTAGCATGCCCCTGCTGCTGACTGCTGCAGGGTTTCTTCACCCCCACCTGGCCTTCAAAGAGGTTCAGCTCAGCAGACGGATTAAAGTCATTCTGTTCCTGTTCCCATACCTGAGGTCTGTGCTGTGTGTGGGAATGGGGGGTTGGATAAGTTCCTCATTTAATATGAAAAGCACTCACAGCATTTTTCCAAAGGTGAGTTGGGGGGCCACCCACATCAGATTCACAGAGATGGCAGGGAAAACACGTGGACTGGTAATGCAAGGGCACTTGGGAGCAAAAGGCTTTCAGGCCTGTGGTCATAGCCCCAGGGCACTTCCGTGTACCACTGCTGGACATTGCAGTCAAGGAAGAGAGGCAACTCTTAGTCCAGAGCCCTCAACCTTGGAGACACCAGGGAGCTTTCAAAAATGGTGATATCTGTGTTCCATTCCCCAGGTTCTGCTTTCATGGGTCTGGAGTTCAGCCTGGGCACTGGGGTTTTGGAAAACTCTGTGGTGATTTTACTTCTGCTCTAGGACAGTGTTTCTCAGCCTTGGCACCCCTGGCCTCTGCTTAGATGCCAGTAGCAGCCCCCTTCTCCCATTGTCACAACCAAACGTTTCCAGGTATTGGCAAATGTATATGGGGGGCAAAACTGACCTTGATGGAGAACGGCTGCTTTAGGTCAATGGTTTGTGGAAGGTCTGCATAGTGTCTAAGAGCGTAGGCTCTAGGGCTACATTGCCTGGGTTCAAATCTTAGCTAATAAAGGGCACAGCTTTGGGAAATTATGTGACTTCTCTGTGGCTCTACTTCCTCATCTATAAAATGGATGATAAAAATACACTATGTAAGGTCATTGGATCAAATGGATTAACAATTGTAAAGTGGCTGGCAATTTCCCAAGTATATAGGTTTAAAATGGAGAACTGATTAATCAGAATATCTGAGCATGGGCCCCAGGAACTGCATTTTAATAAGCTCTTGAGCTTCTTGTACACATGGAAGTTTTGAGAGCCTCTGATTTCAGGGATGTGAAATGCTGCTCCCCTCATTTGGGTGGAGTCTCACCCATGGGCTTGCCAGTCTGGCACTTGGACTAAGGGTGGCCAACTCTGGCTGGTGCAACAGTGCCCTCTAGAGGATGGACTAGGCCCAGTCACCACCTCAGATTCAGGGCCCACTGCTCCTCCCCCCTCCCACCCAGCATTGACCACAGACAGAGGCCCAACTGATGTGTCTATTGGAAGGACTTTATTTAAGTACACTGGGCCCCACCAGGCAACGTGGTTTGTGCGAGGCTGTGTGAGGGACAGGCTTGGGCTAAAAGAAGGGAGGTGAGCTGGTTAAGCACACTGCAGTCCTTGGGGTCGCCACATCGCTTTCACACACATCTGCTGCTGTGGCCCACACCTAGCGGGGCCTTTGGTTGTTGTTGGATGGTATGGGAAGAATACTGCCTGAAACTGGGACTGGGGCAGGTCTTAGTGTCAGGTGAGGGTGTCAGTGAACATTTGCTAGACCCAGCTTTGTACCACCTGGGCTGAAGGGCCTTTGGACCACTGCTAGGTGAGGCCAATCTAGGGTAGGTGCCTGGGCCCACTGGACCAGGGATGAGCCTGAGCCCATCAGCTCCTGGCACCTGTGCCTGGCCTCTTCCCTCCCTAACTAAACAAGCCCAAAGTCAAGAATGGCACAAAATCAGCCCAGAGGGGGACTTCTCATTTCTACAACCTAGCCCCTCAGGTCAGCTAGGGGAAAAGGCAACTTGGTTAATTGCGGCTCTTTCTCCAAACCTAAGGGAGTTAGATCCCCAACACCCCTCCTTTGCTAGGGCCTCTGCAAAAGAGTGATTCTACCACCTGTTTCAGAAAATCCAGCCAGCAACCAACCTTTTGATTCCAGGGCAGTGAGCAAGTGGATGAGGGAGAAAGAAAGAGGCTTGTGGGAGTGAGTTGGAGTGTAGCCTCAGATCCCAAATGGCCTCAGCCTATGGATACTGTCAGTTCACCCTTAGCAGGGAGTGGTGGGGCCCTGGAGGCTATGCTAATTAGGTGCTGTAAACATTAGTATGAACAGGGTGGCTAACTGGTGGGCAGGAGGCAATGAGTTCCCTCTCTCCAGTTTCCATACTGAACAAACACTTCAATAAATAAAACTGTTTGAAGATGGCACTGCCCAAGGACGGATGAAAAGTAACAGGGCCTGGAGCCAGCAGGCTCCTTAAACTCTCTGGAGCCCCCCTGGAACTGGAACATTAATTCTGCTGCCAATCAAAAGTAGCACTACTAAAAACAAACAAACAAAAAAACCTAGCACTACTCCTGCCCTCCTCACATCCCAGTATGGTCCTGGCCCCCAGGTAAAGTTAAGAGCACCCTGGCCTCTCCTGACCCTGGAGTCTCAGTAACAGCCTTTTCAGCCCCCCAAACCCAAACTGCAATCAAAACCAGACAGAACTCAACCTCGGTTCCAGTCCGCAGTCCATGATCGAGAGGCATCAGGAACAGAATGATGAGCAAGGGAGGCAGCAGCTGCCTTGGGCTTCAGGGCACCCCGGGGGTGGGAGGGGCGGGAGCGGGGCTTGGCCAGCCTAGGGTGGGCAGCAGCAAGGTCTCCCGGGGGTCCGGTCTGCCTCCCTTTGTGTCCCCATACTAGGTAGTAAACATAGTCCCGCACAGCCAGCCAAAGGCCCAGCAGACGAAGGAGTGGGGCCCTCTGCCAGCATCCTTCCCTGTCAGGGGCCAGTTAGTGGTCAACCTCAGGCCTCAGGCCATCACCATCATGGGTAGTTCATCGTCCTTTCTGGGCCCTGGGATCCCTGGGCCACACGGCACTCGCATAGGTGCACATACCTGTACCCACACATCCACACACACACACACACACACACACACACAGGCAGTTCCTCGCAAACACTCCGACTCAAGAAAGCGAGTTTTAAAGTGGAGTTAACTTCAGAGAAAGGTGAAGATGTTGTCCCAACATTAGAAGGTTTTCCTGTGGATGGATCGGGCACCGTCTTCCTCATATTCCTTCTTGGAGACCCACATCTTCTTAAAGGTGTCCAGGGATGCGAGGATAGAGCCCCTGGAACAGAGGGAATCCAAAGAAACAGTATGAGAAAAAGAGCGGGTATTTGCTTCCTGTTCCACCTTCCCAGAAGAACTACTCACCCAATCCACGTGGAATACAGTCTCTCCTGAGGTGCAGATATCTGCAAGGGTGAGTGGAAAGAGGAACCTGAGACACTCATCCTCCCCTCTCACTTTCCCTTCCAATTCTCTTTATGGCCCATTCTCACCACCCAAGGCAGTGGATGGATTTCACACAACAGACTAAGTTATGTCCCTGCTGGACCCTGTGGCCTCTCTGGGGGTATTGTAGCTAGCCTGGCACTCATCTTGAGACACAGGTTTCCAGCAACCCTAAGTACAATTCCCAGAGAGGCTAGGGCTATCTGGGGGGGAAGATCTGGCTCTGTTGGGAGTCAGTGGGAAGCAGATTCCATGGCAGGAACCACACTTAGAATCCCTCCTTTCTCAGGCAGGCTAGCTCCCCTTAGCAGTCACTAAGATGTTGGACTGGGTCACAGGGGAGTAGCAAAAGTCAATCTCCTATCAATGTTACAGTTTCCCTGAAAGATCACAGGTAGGGCTCTCACTCCAGCACTCTACCACATCTGGGTATTAGAACCCTCCCCCTTTGTGAAGATGGAGAGTGAGAATGGGTCCTTCACTCTAGCAGACCTCAGGGTCAGTGTGGAGGGAGGAACCATCTGCTGGCACCTGTGTAGCCCTGGATGCCTGAAAAGCTTGGGCCGAGCTGGAAAGGAGTCCACACCATATGTCACTTTGGACCCTTAGAGGCCCAGTTCCACCCAGCCCTAGCCCGCTCCATGCTCCTACCCTGATCTTCACGTCTTTCGGAGCCAGTTTCTTTACTTCACTCAGTAGCCTGTCACCAAAACCTGGATGGGTAGGAAAGGAGAATCTCAAAGTCAATCCTCCGGGCATCTAGGCCCAGCAGGATCTGGAAGCTTCCTGGGGAAGGGCCCTGAGAGCAAAAACCAACCTTTGAACAGGGTGGAACCTCCTGAGAGGACAATGTTAGAGAAAAGCGTGCGCCTCAGGTCCATGTCAGACTTCTGGATGGCAAACACCAGCACCTCATGGATGCCCTCACTCTCCTCGCCGATGAGGTCTGGCCTGAATAGAAGCTCAGGTGCCCGGAATCGGGAAGGACCAATCTGCAGGGTGGAGGGCAAACTTTAGAAGCTGGGACTGGGGCCGAGGTCCCTTTGGGAATGGGGATGGAAGAGGCCCCTGTGTTCACCTCTTAGTAACAAGGTAGCTATGAAGGCCAGACTAAGGAAAGACCTCGGATGTCAAGGGTCTCAAGGAACAAAGATAGGGCTCTTGGGAACAAATAGGGAACAAAAAGAAACACGGCTCCCAGGAAACTAGAGAGGAAGCTTTGATGTTTAATCCTAGCTCTGGCATTTCCCAGCCAAGAGACCTCTGGCATTAATAATACATGGGTTCACTCATTCATGGAGACTTCTTCCTATCAGTGGAGGTCTGGGGAGAGGCAACTCAGTCTGTACTGTGCTCAAGTGGTTAAGGACAGCACTAATCACCCCCTTTCCTAATCCTATCCTGACCAAGGAATGTGCCTCTGGTGTCCCCTCTTCTCCACACAAGAGAAGCAAAGTCCCTGGCACACTGGGCAGGAGATGGTGCTGCTCAAGAGCTCCAATGCTCCAGGCAGGGGCTGAAAAAGGACTGATACCTCTGACTCCAGCCTCCCCACAGGGAGTGTTTGGGCCCAGAGCTTTTGGGGGCCTGAGGGCACTGTGGGGAGAGGTCCGGTTGCCTACCTCAATGGTGCTGCCGTCGGGCAGGTAGTACTGAGCCTTCTCCGTCTCTAGTGTCTCATCCTTCTGAGGGTTTATGGATAGGTAGCAGGCTCTCTGCAGAACCAAGCACATGTCAGGTAGGCAGGAAACCTGGCACCTACCCGGTCAAAGTCCCTGGGGACTGATGTGCTGCTGCAGAAATCTGCCCATCACAGTGATTTCCCTAAAGGTCATTAGAGCTGCTGCCCTAAAGCAGGAAAAGGGACATTTCCATCGGCATTCACTGGGTGGCATTTAGGAATTCCCACCGATTCCACCTTCCTGGTGGGCAAGCATGGAAACATGGCTCTGTGGATCTGGGTGTGAAACCACAACCTAATTTTAGTCCAGACTCAGGCATCTTTCTTCTACTGCTCATATGGTTCTGAGTCCCACTACGCAGCTTAGAGGTTACCCACAGCTGCAAGTGGCAGGAGGATTGTTTACTTAGAAAGAAAAGTGTACTCTGAATTCCTCAAGGATGTAAAAGAACAGGTATAATTTGTACATAGGTATGAAAAACATAATGATCACCAGTGTGCCCCTCACCCAGCTTACGAAACAGAAGCAGTTCCCTTTCTCCCCTACCAGGTGGGAGCTCATTGGGAAAGTGATCTGTGTGAGGGGGTCCAGATGGATATCTCACAGCTGTCAGGAGGCCTGACATAGATCCCCAGGACAGGAGTGTCACTTCTTTTCATTCCTGGTCCTGGAAGTCCTGGATGCTCTGTTCCCATTCCCTATCCCATCCCTGGGCCCACAGGGCAGCACTCACTTCTTTTATGGCCTTGACAATCTCAAACTCCGAGGATGAGTGGAAATCATAGCCCTCTTTACGCAGATAAAGGCGAAGGAAGCGAGAGACGTCTCGGCCAGCGATGTCGATGCGCATGATTGAGTGAGGCATAGCAAAGCCCTCGTAAATGGGCACAGCATGGGTGACACCATCCCCAGAATCCAGCACCACACCCGTGGTCCTACCTGTGGCATAACTAAAGCAAAGGGGGTAAACCATCACTAACCCCTGCCTCCTCACTCTGGGAAAGACTCACTTGTGTTAGAGTTCCATGTTAGCTAAACTAGAGCTGGGGCCTGTCTTTCTCTGGGGCCTGAGACTGGACTGAGTAGTAAGGATGCCTGAGCACTGAAACAAGTCTCAAATGACCTGAACGAAAGGAGCTGGGCCTCTCCAAGCTCCCTCTCCACCCGCAGAAGACCAGGCCTTCCAATCTCAAGATCTGCCTGTCCTTCAACCATTTCAGGGACCCAGCCTAAAGGGCAGTTTTCACTCCTAGACAAGAGGAAAAACTCAGCTGCCTGCAGGGGTTAGGCAGGAAAAGTAAATGAGTAAAGGAAAATAAGGATGTTTTCACTTCCACAAAAAATTAGCTTTTCCCCCACACAGCTCTCTAGGTCTGTCCTTAGTTTTTTCTCTTTTGGTAGAGACAAGGGGACAGACATATATTTCTGTGATATGAAGGGATAAACCTCACAATGTTTGATAAGTAGCAACTGACACTGCCTTCGTGTCGGGAGGACAAGGAACGGAGTGAACTGTGGTGAAGTCAAGCTAGCAAACTCTAAAATGGCAGCTTATGTTAGCTGGTATTTTGCCCTATAGGAATGCCAAAGGACTGCTTTCCCCTCAAGGGGCCAGGCTAGCCACCCAAGCTGCTACTCACAGGCTGAGCACAGCTTGCATGGAGATGAAAAGGGCTGGCACATTGAAGGTCTCAAAGAAAACTTCAGCAGCTCGTTCTCGGTTTTTCCGCGGGTTTAAAGGCGCCTCTGTCAGGAGCACAGGATGCTGTTGAAACATGCCCAGACAGCAGTCAGAGTGAGGCCAGATTTCCACCCCTCATTAGTACTGGGGGAGAAGCCTGTGTGTGGCTGGCCAGGGGACCTGTGTCAGCCTCCCTCTAAAAAAGGCAAGCTGGGCCTATCACTTACCCCTACCCAAGTCAGTTTTTCAACTTTCCAAAATAAAGGGCTCTTTAAAGTCTCATTCTCTCCTCACCTCCACCTCTTTACTCCCCTCCTTTTCTTTTAAGATTCTTATATAGATCCCTATGTCTACTATATATCTCCAATTGTCAAGAAGATTTTGCTAATAAACTCTTGGAATTATTATGATAAAAATAGTTTACATTTTGTTTAAAATAGAAAAGAATGTACTTTTAAAACAGAGCATATCCTTCCCCTGGAAATTCTGATACACTTAGTATGCATGTTCCTTGGTGTTTTTGAGTGGAGAGTTACTCCTTAGAAGTTAAAAAGTATAGGCTCTGAAGCCTGAAAGATGTGGGTTTGAATCCCAGCTTTATTCACTGGGTGATCTTTGAAACACTACTTGACTTCTCTGAACTCATTCCCTTGTTTGTAAACTAGAGATAATACTACCTACATCTCATAGGAATGGTGTGAAGATTAAATGCAAACACGTTTAAAAAGCACAAGGTCTGATGCCTGGCACACAGCTAGGACTCAATGCTCTCGGCAGCTATTGTCATCTTCTTCATCTCTCGGTAGGGGTTCTGACCAGCTCTGCACAGCCCCCAGGGCTGCTCTGCACACAGGCCCTCACCTCCTCTGAGAAAGTCTGCAGCTGGTCCTTAGAATAGACATATTGCCAGATGCGCTCCATGTCGTTCCAGTCCTTGACAATGCCGTGCTCCATAGGGTACCGGATGGAGAGCAGCCCTCGATGCTCCTGGTGGCAGAGAGCAGGACTTACAGCAGCAGCCAGTCTCTCAGCTGAGCTGGCCCATGGACCTTGATCTTCCAGGACTGGGAGTTCCCACCCCACAGCCCCCACCCAGGGCTAAGGGCAGGCACCCATTCATTTTCTAAGTCTCCTAACTGTACGGCTGCAAACTGCTTTCACTGCCTAATCAGCAGGTAAAGTAGAGGGCTTCTGCAATTCCATGGGCCCTTGGGGGTCCCTAGAGCAAGTGACAGGAGACACCCTTTTCATTGCCTGATCCCAGGACATAATCTCCTGGCTCCCACCTCTGGGCCTCAGCACTTTGAGCCAAGGCTGCAACTATGATTCTGTTGTTCTGCTTCTAGAGGCTGCCTGAGGGCTTTGCCAAACTGTGCTAATTAACTCATCCCCAGGGTACCCCAGCCAGGATCTGCCCCCAATCCCTTTTGCCAAAAAATAACCAAGCCAGTAGTCAATTTGATCATTGGCAACATAGTGACAGAATACAAAAGGAAGGCAGAAGTCCTGTTTCCTAGATTGCTCTCTGTTCCCTAAATTAGGGTTTGATATTTTCTTTCCAAAACCAGAAGCTGCTCCTGGGAGAAATAAACTGATGAGGCCTAGGATGAGAGAACAGAAGAGGAGATTTTAAGAGGAAATCACTCCTTTTTCTCATGGCTATGTCCCACTGCTGGCACACTGTCCACGTGGGGAGCAAAGAAGGTCCTCAGTTGGCTTGAGGACTGGGAATTTACCTCAGCTTTGGGGCCAATGAAGATGTCACCTTCGAGGGCTCCTGCCATAACGCGAACGTGCTTGGGTCTGCCCACACTACACAAGAGAGAGGAGAGGACCGTCATTTTTCATTTCACAACAGAACACATGACAGAACACAGAAAGGAGGTATAGAGGCACAAACGACAGGAATATACTCAATTCTGCAGCGATTATCTTTAAGAAGGAAGGTTACAGTTGATTTTGATTTTCTTCTTTCTCCTTTTCTGCATTTCCCACAATTTCAACAATGAACATGTATTAAGTTATTCATACATTATTTTTATTATGTTTATATTATTTTATAAGTTATTAAAACAAATTTTAGAGGCTTCAATACCTCTAGTTCTTCTCTTTCCCCAATGTATGTGCAGAACAAGAGAGAGAAGGAAACAACAATTTCTAAATGAATGGTTAATGCAAAAGATTTTAGTCTCCTTAGGCCCCTGCCCAGGCTTTCTACTAAGTAAAACTATGCTGTTGTAACTGTGACAGATGGCCTTCTTTCTTTTTCTTTTTTTAAAAAAAAATTATCTTTTTTTTTAGATTTTAATCCTTATCTGAGAATGTTTTTATTGATTTTTAGAGCGAGAGGAAGGGAGAGAGAGAGAAACATTGATGTGAGAGAGAGAGAGAGAGGGACTGAGGGAGAGAGAGAGAGAGACATCAATCGGTTGCCTCCTATAAACGCCCTGACGGGGATTGAACCCGAAACCTTTTGGTGTATGGATCAATGCTCCAACCAAACGAGCTAGCTGGCTAGGGCAGATAGCCTTCTTTCTTTTTTCCCCGATTTCAGCCCCTTCCCCAGGTGCCCTGCCCTTCTCCTGCCTATAGTTTCTCTGCCTTAGGAGGAAAGTGCTGTGAACTCATTCTCACTAAGATGGGAGGTATGGTTTAATAGTTGAACCCCATCCTGGGTGACAGCCAGCTCCTGTCCTTTGCTTGTTGCTTTGAGTACCAAGGCTGACCTGAATAACAGATCCTTTCTCTCTAAAAGATGGAGGGGTGAGCCCATAACAAAGCCAACAAGCTTCTCAATCTTCTGGCTAAGCTACAGAATGACTTACTAGTTTGGAAAGCAGTATTTGGGGATCTGGTCACCAGCAAAACCAGCTTTAATCACACCGGATCCCTGAGGAGAGAGGAGAAAGAAAAGTCAGAAGTATCACAAAAACAAGAGGAGATGTATACCATACAATATGTATATGGTTTCATTTTTATTTAAAAAGAGAGAGACCTTCTAGTTGTATATAATATGTCTATTTTCATAAGCATTTTTATAGTGAATACATCCAAAGAGAAGTGGGACTGGGGAGGGTGAGGAGAACTTTCACTGTACACTCAAACTGTTATTTGCTTTTTCTGTATTCTTTGACTTTTCTACATTAAATATGTTTTACTTTGGCATTAAAAATGTTAGCTTTTTGGCAGCTGTGAAGGTGGGAGATCCTGGCCAGATCTCATTGTCCTCCCAGGGCTTTGACCCTCCCATAAAGGCCCTCAATAAAATGGTTTGATACCACCCCCCCAAATATTAATAAAGGGAAGAAAAGGAGAGAAGAGGAAAGTAGCTAGAAGCACCAAAGCAGTCAAGTTCAGGAACACAACCAAGGTGGGAAGAGTGCATGATTCTTTCAGTTATACCACCAAGGAATGTCTGAACCCTCCCTGCCGTCCAGGCTGTATATGACAGACACCACCATGAGCACTGCCATGGCACACACTGTCTGCTTCTTACTGCAGGAGCAGACACTCTGCTTTGTAGGGGGGGAGTTTGTGGTTATTGTTTTTTTATTATGCCTTGTTTTACTCATAGGTCTCCTGATGATAAGGAGCATGGAAGCCCGAAAGCATTGTCTGAGAAGAGAAGAGATCCAGCATTATAATCCTGCTGCTCCAATCTTTGGTATGTTGGGTGGGGTGCCCAGAAAAGAACCTGACTTCTCCCACCAGCATCTTTGATACCACCCTGGGCCCAACCAAAGTAAACACTGACTCTATACACAGATACTAACTCCATGCAGGGCAGCTGTTGAGGCTTGATATTGCTTGCAGACAGAATCTGTTCTCTTCCTTCTTAACTCTTCTACCACCACAGCTGATACCCTCGTCCTTCCAGCCCAACACAGTTTGCAGCTAATTGGGGCAAACCTTTCCCTGCTGCCTGTCAACCACTTCTCCTGGGGCTGGGTGTGATATTTCTAGAACCCACACAGCAAGCAGTAAACATATCAGGAGATAATAAATAGCCAAGGTTATCTTTGCCCCAAAGGCTTCCCAGCAACACCCCTGGTTCCCTCCATCTCTTATTCCTGCTCTTCTATGGGAGAATGGGCTGAGATGGGCCATCCTGGTGCCTGACTCTGGCAACACAGGAAGGAAGAAGTGGCTGAAGGACAGGGAAAGCAGTAAGTTGATCAGGCAAGCCAGTTCTCTATGACAGCAGGAACCTCTGCCAACAGAAAAGAGAAAACGGGAGATAAGTGCAAACTCATTGGCCTGGGCAGACAAGCAAGAAGCCTGGAAAAGGTGAAGCTGTACACTGAGCTGAAAGACTGGGAAGGAGGAAGAAGTTATCGGACTGCAAACACAGGGCTCTGGGACAGTGGCATGGAGAGTGGGAACAGCGCTGTACAAGAGAACTCCAGGCGCTTGTTAGCTCAAGCTTTCTATAATTGCTCACTGCCTTCATCTGGGTGTGGTTATGCCAACAGACTCACTGGATCTCCGGCAGAGGTTGAAAACAAGAAGAGTAAAGATGAGACCTGTACTGCAGACTCTAAATACCTTCCTGGATATCTGATTTTGAGTTTATGAGCAAAAAGACTACAGTCTGAGTGATAAGGCAGATTAAGATGTTAGGCTCATTTCTTCCTCTCCGTCCTTCCTAGCAAGGCTATAATGGGCCCAGTTCAAATATCACTGCCTTCCTCTTGAAGAACAGTCACCATGTGGAATTAATTATCCCCCTCCTATTATCTCACAAAATCACCGTTACCTATACCACTAGGTAGATGCATTTCACTCTGCTCTCTATTTGACTTTATGGTTTGCATTTTTGTCTCTTTTCAGCCCAAGTTCCTCGAAGTCAGAGACTTTATATATCATCAGTATCTGGCGTTTACAGGGTACTCAAATAGACACTGGCTGACTAAAATGAAAATCAAGCTCAAATGACTGGCAGATGATCTCTAATATATGGAACCCGAATGAGCAGCTAGAATGCCAAAAGCCCCAGGCAGAGGTGGTGCAGAAAAGGCTAAGGCAGTGTCGGGAATGATGCACAAGACCAGGAACCAGACCCAGCTTGTCCCTGCAGACCTGGGTGAAGAATGGGTAGCAATGAGCGAGGTAGTTTCCTCCCTCTGTGTTGCCAGAATCAGGCACCAGGATGGCCCATCTTTCTATTCTGCTCAGCCATACCATGAGATCATATAAAAATGTAATGGCAATTTCTTTACCAGTATTTACAACTAGGAACTGTATACCTGGCAAATGGGCTGCCACTCTCTTTGTTATTTACTGTGGCAAAACCAAGTAAACAAATGCCGTGTAGAGGCTTCTTGAAAAAGTAGTCTCGTTAAGTATTTGATTTTTGAGGACTCAAATCTGCTGCCAGCCACCATTGACCATTTATTCTCCTTCTGCTGCAGGCAAACAAATAGCAAATCCCTTTGTAAGGCTCTTCCAGTACCTGCTGGCTATAGGCCTTGTGGTTTGGGTGACCTTGATCCTAAGCTCTCCTGATTATTCTGGACATGCTGGGAAGAAAGCTAATTGTCTCCCATTTCACAAGTGGGAAAAGGATGCTGAGAGGTGGAGCCTCAGATTCTAGGATATTGATGGCCTATTTTGGCCCAAAGACATATGTTTGGCCCACAAAGTACTTTTTAAAAAACAACTTTATTGAGATAAAATTCAATGTACCCATTTAAGGTGTATAATTCAGTGGTTCTTAGTATATACAGAGTTGTACAATCATCACCACAGTCTAACTTGAGAACTTTTTCATTATCCCCCAAAGGAACTTTGTATCCATTAGGAGTGTCTCTCTATCCTACCCCCCCAATCCTAGCCCCCGGGGAACCACTAATCTACAGATCACTTATTACTTTTACATTAACTTTTTTTTTTTTAATATATCTTTATTGATTTCAGAGAGAGGGAAGGAGAGGGAGAGAGATAGAAACATCAATGATGAGAGAGTCACTGATGGGCTGCCTCCTGCAACCCGGGCATGTGCCCTGACCGGGAATCGAACCCCGATCACTTGGATCCTAGGTCTACGCTCAACCACTGAACCACGCCCAGCCGTGCTACATTAAAAATTGGAGACTCATATGGCATTTAAAATTTATGATTTCTCGCCCGGCTTGGCTCAGTGGTTGAGCATTGACCTGTGAACCAGGTGGTCACAGTTCGATTCCCGGTCAGGGAAAATGCCCAGGTTGTGTCCCGATCCCTGGTAGGGGTCATGCAGGAGGCAGCCAATCGGTGATGTTTCTCTCTCATCGATGTCTCTCTCTCTAGCCCTCTCTCTCTCCCTGAAAATCAACAAAAACATATTTTTTAAAAATGAAAAAAGACCCTAGCTGGTTTGGCTCAGTGGTTAGAGCATCGGCCCTTGGACTGAAGGGTTCCGTGTTTGATTCTGGCCAAGGCCACATACCTTGGTTGCAGGCTCTGGCCCAGGTTGGGGCACATCTGGGAGGCAACCAATTGATGTGTCTTTCTCACATGATGTGTCCCCCCGCCTTCCACTCATTCTCAAAAACAAGCAATGGAAAAAATATCCTTGGGTGAGGATTAAAAAAAATTTAAAAAGAAAAAAAATTTTCTGATTTCTCTTGAAAAATCAGATCTGGCAACACTGGGCCTGCATCCCTGCAAATATGGCAAATGTCAGCATTTATTAAATATGGGGTAGATACATACCATGTGGGTGCTCATTATATACTTACCTGAAATTTCTTTATGATTAATGTCTCTCATTTTTTAAAAAGGGGGCTGAAGCAGCATAACATTCCCTGAAACAGTGGAAACTCTTATCTTATTGATGAACTGGTAAAGATCTGATACTGTTCCTGCCTTTAGGCCCCATAGTCACAAAGACGGTTTTAAGATTGACCAGAATCTTAAATTAGGATAGTTGTTCTAATTTAGGGTAGAACTTAACCTTTAAGATCTTAGCAAAGACTGGTGCTTTGGAATAAATAAAGTAATCTAATCAAAGTGTTGTAGTCAAAATGTTGCCGGGGAGCTACCCTCCTCTTGTATTACTATTACATTATATTGTACTGTACTGTATGCCTTTCGGAAAAATAACTTGTATTTGGTTTTTAAAAATACCTCATTTATTGTTGTCATTAAAGTACAGNAAAGAGTGGTCAACAATTGTCTTAATACTAGGAAAGGCTATGAAGCAATAATGAGGCTCCTCCCTTTTTCCCTGCTTTCTTTGTTTTCCTTTCTTTTAATTACACTCTTCTTAGCCCATTAATAAAACTGTAGCAGCACGTTAAGCTATGGAGCTGTTAAATCTGCTAGAGACACATTATTCTCATAAAGTTAGCTCATATATTTCAAATGATGTTTCCTACCCATGTTTCACTGTGAAACAAAACAAAACTCTCAAATGTCAAACAGCAAGAACTACCGGAGGCCCCCAATCTAAAAATGTGGCAGATGCTCCGTAAATCCTAATGGGAAAATTACTTAAGTTTCTTCTACTTCACCTTTTGGCAGAATTATGGCATAATAAAGGAAATGTTTTCCCAGAAAAAACACACAAGTCAATTCTTTTAATCTTAAAACTGAAAATGTACCACTGGCTTTGATGCATTTCAAATACACTACCAGGAAAGAGAAAAGAGAAACTAAGAAGCATTATTAGCTTTAGTGACATTAAAGAAAGTGGCTGGCGATGGAACTTCTGCACAACAATTCAAGAAGCAGAGGATCTGGTGGGATGGGCAGACTACTTCTTCTGCATTGGTGATGAAAAAAAGGAAATTACTAATTTCTATCCCCCCCCCCCCATTTTAACACTATGAAAAAGGTACATGAAGCCCGGCCGGGCGTGGCTCAGCGGTTGAGCGTCGACCTAGGATACAGGTGATCGGGGTTCGATTCCCGGTCAGGGCACATGCCCGGGTTGCGGGCTCGATCAATGACTCTTTCATCATTGATGTTTCTATCTCTCTCTCTCCCTCTCCTTTCCTCTCTCTGAAATCAATAAAGATATATTTAAAAAAAAAAAA